GCCCACTTCTTCGGATGCATATCATGTAGTCCATGAAAGCTTATGCTCTAATAAATTTGTTAGTCTCTAAGGTGCCACAAGTACTCCTGTTCTTCTTTTTGCGGATACAGACTAACACGGCTGCTACTCTGATACCCTTGAAGGTTCAGCTGTCCCTATGACTGGGACATTGGGTATAATTTCGGGCCTCCCATCCTTTGCAGTGGAACTTTAACAAGGCTGTGATCCATTCATAGGTTTCTTGGTATCTATAAATAAACAACCCCTGAAAAAAATACCTCTGATAGGTTGTGATGCAGCCAGTATTCTGCTTTGTGGGGTCGTATGACGGCCCAAGGTGTGGCACAGTATAAGATAATGTTAAGATGCCAGTGCTAGCCCGGCAGCGGTAGTAGAGGGAATTTTGAGGCTGTTAAACTTTATGGCATAAATTCATCCCTGGTGTAACTCCACCAGTGCGAACGGATGAATTTGGCTTTACGGGTATCTCCAGTGTAGCTGGATTACAGTAACTTCCCTGCTGAATGACTTTCCCCGGCTTCTCAGTATTAAATGGCTGTAATAATAGACCATTTCTCTCGTTGTCTGTATCGGTCTAATGGCTGCCCTCTGGGCTGCCGTGTAAAATACACAGGCACAGCTGTTTCGTGGCCACCTGTAGGATAACCCTGTGCTGCTTTACAATAGCAACGTTTGCTTTTCTCTTACTACAACATATGGGGCCAGGCCGAAGCTGCGGGGACAATACCTCTGAGCAGGGCTATTCAGAGGCAGCCGCACAATGCCCATCACCAGGTTTCTTTCCCTGTCAAACCCTGGAAGCATCACCCCTCTAAATGCTGTCTGGCGAGCAGATGAATCATTCCAAGGAGCACCATCTTATCAAGGCATTCCTTCCAGAAAGGTCGCAGCAGAGTGCTTTGCCATAGCCACAGGCGCTCAGATAGCAGGTCATCGCCGCTAACCTACAGGAAAGCAGGACTGTTTTCCCAGCATGCCCTGAGA